CCTACCCCTTCTCATTTTGACAGTTAACAGTAGTACACCATTATACAAAACAGATACATTAGACCATCAGCCCTATTTACTAACTTCAGTGGAATTTACTTGGTTATATAGACTACTGCACATTATAGACTATACAGTTTCAATGTGGCTCAATGTTCTATAGCAGAGAATATCTGTGCAGAATAGATACATTACTTATATAAATATAGCTTCGATAAATGCTGGGGCAGAGTTGTCGATACTATAGGCCTATGTACCATCCCAGGCAGTGGCCTCAGCTGAACAGCTACTCCATTCCTTTAATTATTTCAGATGGGGGGGCTGTACCCACACCTACTAGTATTGCTTAGTATAAAAGTACTACAAATATGATGCCTGCTAACTGAATATTAAGATACCTGGTGTGCACATACAATGAATTTTTAAAAAAAAAAATAAATATCCCCTATATATATATATAGCTTGGGATTGTTCAAACACCCTTAGAATTAAAAAATAAAAATAAAAATTAAAAAAGTGCTTGTTCATATATTGGGGATATTGGTAGTTCAGATATTAGGGAGATGGAAACAAAAGAAGGAATATAAGAACTCTCCTTTCCCCTGACTTTTTCTATGCATCTGCCATTGACTTTGACAAATGTTCCCAGGCCAATCCACTGTAACATGGGGAAAGGATTTCTGTTTTCACTTTGTCCTGTTCATCGCCTTTCACACACTTAGTTATTTTGTTTAAGCAGCTTTAAAACTAGATATGAGGTGAGACACACACACTTCTTTTGGTGCGAAAGAAAATCCCAATGATAACAGCTTTAAAAAAAAAAAAAATGCAACACACACACACCCCCGACCTCAATATGTGTTGATTTCCAATGCATTGGGATCCACAAGCCCTCATGAACCTGCTTCTTGATACAACCTTTCAAGCACCAGCTCTGTGTTTAACATTGAGCCCATGTGAGTCAGCTGGAACAGAGCAGTTGCTGACATGTTTATGGATTCACCAGTGATTGACCAAGCAGTGAAAACATGCATAATTACCCAGTTGTAAATTATTGCTTTTTTTGTCATGCATTAGTTTACACATCCAATTATTGCAATAGTTGTTAGATGTAGTTTACACACACACCCTCACCCCCCAATAAAAACAGTCCTCTCTGAATGAGAACATGCAATTATACTTTCCCCTTCTTCTCCCACTCTATGAAGCATTCAAGAAATGCAAATCTTCCTTATACTGACCAAAAAACCCAACAATAACCTTGCCCATCACCACCCAGCAACTTATAATAAAAGGCTACAGAAAATACTTTTGTAGTATCTCTTTTATGTTATATGCAAACTACTTTTTCCCTTTTCCACATTTGGCTGAGGCCAATTAAGTCTTTTCGCATCCATGCCGCCTGAGCCTTTTTCTTTAAAATTCAAAAATGGGGAAGAAAATACCTTTAGCGGGGCTCAACCTGGCTTCCTGTACAACCCCGGCTGCTGCGACAGCCTGGGAGTTGCTGAAGACTCATCAGCTCATTCAAGACATCTGTGTGGCTTAATAAGGCTACACAGGAGCTTCATTATCCTGAAGCTCGTGGCCTTCACCTTGTCTAGGCAGCACTCGTTTTCCCATCAAAGATGAACTGGAAACAGCCACGTGCTTGTATTTGCTTGAGGTCCTGGATGTGTGGTGTCCCTCTCACCTCCTGCTTTCCCTCTCCCTACGCTTCTGGCTTTTGGGCTAGCAGGGCTGGCAGGGTCCCTTTGTGTTACAGGTGGATTAACAACGTTGTCCATAAGCCTGTAGCACTGTATATAACTGATCGTGCCCCAGATCAAGGGGTTTGTGCTTTCTGCCACATGTACTTCCTACTGGTTGGCCATCAATGCTGGTTGGAAAGGAGAAGAGCTGTTAAAATGGAAAAGTTTTGAAAACTACAAGGAAATGTTTGCACCTCCCCCATTAGTAAATGCATCATACGCCTATCAACCATCTCACAAGCAGCAGTAAGGCAGTCACACTGAGGCCTTAAAAAAGTCCCATTTAGACTCTGAATATCTTCTTCCATTACACCTTTACTTTTACTGTGCTTGGCACTCGCCACCCAAACAACACCCCGTCGGAGAACAGTTTTTATCCTTGCCTATTAGCGCTCATGGACTTCAGGGGACAAACTAAAATAATAGCCACGAGGCAGAGAGGGCAGAGACTGTCGGGCAGTGCGGGCACCGCGTGTGCCAGGGGGAGAGGAGGGGCAGGAGCACACGCCTCCTTCTGCAGCGAGGGGGGGTTCTGCACAGCCAACATAACCAACAAGAACGGCCACTGGTCGGTCAGACCAGGAGGAACCTATAGGTACAATGCCTCCATGTGTTAGTCTCTGAGTCACATATTTTCATTTTCTTTGTGTCTTTCTTTACTACATCCCCCCCCAAAAAATATGACCACCTTCCTGTGATGACTGTATCAAATACATATGCATCCCCCTTTTTATGTATATATGTGTGTGTATATATGCACACATATATGCATGTGTGGACATGCATATTTGCAAACATGCGCACACCCACAGACACACTCTCCATCCAATACATGAGTTACCAGAAAAAAAAAAAAAAAGCCTGTATTAGTCGTGCATGCAATTCATGAAAAAGCTGAAATACCTCCCCCCCCCCTTTGTTGTCTTTTGAGAAAGGAGTAAGAATTGTTAATAAAGATCAAAACCTTATTTCTACATCAGTCATCATGTGGTCTGTCAGCTGTCACTTAGGCCACTTGCCTTGATGTAACTTCATGTATCCAAATATTGGTGCTGGCCTTATTGTCGTCCTTAATAGCTGAATCTCAAAGATCTCCAACAGGTTTTCTACGTGTTGCTCCACCTAATTGCCAGAAGTCAGTCCTGCGTCTTTGATCATCAAAAAGAGGAGTGAGAAAAGATTGCTGATTGCCCTTAGCTTTTCTATAAATGGGAAATGCAAACCCATACCTGTACCTGTTTCTCTCTGTCTCGCTTGCTCTCTAAAGGTGTTCTGTCTATCTATCGTTACATACGGAACTATCTGTGCTGGGAGAGAGCATGAGTGTATTCAGATCTTCTCCTTTATTTATGTACAGTTGGCAGCATGACATTTTTGGGTGTGACAGTTAAACTGGACAGAGAGACACACACAAACCTTAGCTATTTAGGAGCGTTGAATTTGATGCATTAGCATGTTTTATCCAGTGAATGCTCACCTCTGAATGAAGGACACTCAGAAATGGCACTTTATGTGATAAAGTATAAGATAAAACGCTCTATGCCCCTACACTAAACACCGGTCTTCTAAGAAAAAGAATAAATTCACATGTACTTGGTGATGTTGAACACAAATTTCAAAAATTCTCCTGCACTCAGGACCAGCTTTTTTGACCCTGGTTATAATACGAACGCAGTTCATAAATGAAAAAGGAGCACTGACTTCAAAGTAAAGGCTTAACATGACCCAATGCAGAAACTGGATGCAGATTGTAACGTATCACTAGCTGAAGCAGCGTAGAGCGGAAGAACTCACCAGACTCATCGTCTGTTTTGGGGACTGTGAAATGGGTTAAACATGGTCTCAATAATAACGGAAAACTGCTTAAATTGTTTTGGTACCTTGTAGGAGAGTGAAATATTTTAAACAATCCAATTTTACAGATACTGTATTAACAATTCCTGTTATTGTCTTTAAATAGCTATTCTACAAAATGTAACAACAAAGTAGTCACAGTCCAAGAAGTCACTCCAGAATAAAGCCTATTAGGTGTTAGTATGGTTATATTTGTACTGCAGCCAGTGGACAAACATTAAAGCTGAGATAGTTTAGCTTAAATGTTGGATTATATAGTGGACATCAGTGTTTTCACAATAAATTCATCTGCTTTGTATTTGTTTGATTCACTGATATTTCTCTAATGATAAAAGTACCACAGTATGTCTCATTGTGGTGTTTAACAATTCTGCAAAATTACAAAGCCTAAAGTTAACTTGCACAATGAAACCTGCCTTTCCTGATGACTGGGTCCTGTGATTTTGTTTTAATCCCTATTAGCACAGCCTTTTATTTTCTTCTTTTTTTTTTTTTTTCTTCAAGCAATTGTGTCAGATGTTGCTAATTTGAGATAGAGAGAGAGTTACTAAATCATTTAGAACACCAAATGCTTGGGTGGATAGATACTGCAGCACAGATATGAAACATCACATTTTTGTCTGATGGCTGTAAAGCTCGTTGGCAACTTTGTGAAACTGCTGACACAAAAGGCACCCATCAAAGGCCTTTTGTAAATTATCATAATAAATACATTCATTACTTTTATTTTGATTTGGTTATTACTGTACTTTTATGTGTGGTCGCCCAGCAAAGTGAAAATAAATTAAAGAAAAAAAAAAAGCAACAGCTAAAATAAGATGTTGCTTGGTGCAGGAATTAACTGAGAACAGCATGTTGTGAGATTAGAGAGCTGAGGCTAAACCAGTTTATATTCCAATCTGAACTCACCAAAAGGAGATTCAGTGTGGCTTTTACCAATGAGCTGGCATCGATGTGCAAAGATCTGGAGCTAAACCTCTATACATATCAGGAAGAACCTGAACCAAATAAAGAAGACTGATGCAAGGCCATCAGCATTTTTGAAGTAAGGAACCAACAGAATATGGTAGATGAGAAGGTTTATAACTTATGTTTTCATGCACTACTTATGCACTCTGGATTAAAGCACTGTAATACATGGCAAAAGAATAGGAATGGCCAAGCTTGCCCTCCTGAAATTTGCAACTGCCCATGGCTAATGGGAAGCGGAGTAGAATTGCCAGATTTGCCATTTATAGCAAGTGCTGCCTATGAGCACCTTATCTACACAGCTCTTGGTCTGGGGTAGTGGTGTTCACTACGCCAGGCTTGCAGAAAGTTATCAGGGATGCCGGGCTTCTGTCTCTGTGTGTGTGTGTGCACGCGTAGGGGGAAGGGGGGACACTGTGTGTCGGGGAGTTACTGGACCTTAGCGCAACTGGCGATTAAGGTGATCTGTATGTGGCAATAAAACAAAGAATATTTCAGAAGAATGTTACATGTACAAAAATATGACTTTCAACTTTGAAAATAAATAAGTTCAGTTTATTAAGAGCTGGTGTCAATGCTGAACAAAATACACATCCTCCAGTAAAGAAACATTTTGGTGAACTGTTCTTTTTTTTTCTTCTTTTTTTTTTTGATTTACTAAAATACAAGTTGGACCTTTCTCTTCTTTTTGTAAATATATCATTTGCCTCCCTTAATTACATGTCCTTATAACTGTGACCATCATTCTCCTTTAAGCCAAGGACTGAGGTTGGTTTGTTTGGGTTTTTTTTTAAACTCTTAGGAGTCTGGCCACATATGCAGGTTTTTCTTTTAGGGAAAATACTTGACAATGAAAAAAAGAAAAATATATTTATTTCTAATAAATAAAAATAATTTAAAATGCTAGAGGCTATACATGACTAGTTTTGATTATGTTCATTTATAAATGAAATATTTTCCAAAATACGTGGAAGCAATATTAAAGGCAGACAAACAAAGATCTGTCTACTTTATTTTCCCATTAAGCTTGCCCTTCTTAACTTCTCCATCAGTGGTTCAGCATGTAAAAGGAATAAATGTCACATCACCATTCATGAAGTTTGTCAGGCTTTAAAAAAATAGTTCTGGCCTCGAAGGAGTCAACATTCATCTTCAACTTCTCTGATTGGTGGTATCAAGCTGCTTGTTGATTTATATTGATTGATCTGATTGGCCATGTGAGTGCTCATGGGCTTGATTTGAATGTTTCTGGGATAGGCATTATCCGGCTCATCTGTAAACCATTTCTTTTCTGCTAAGGAGCAAAATGGGTAGAGACAGAATAAGGAGGGAAAATGAGAGTTTTAATTAGTGAAGCACATACACACATAAACACACACAAAAAAAAAAAGGAGGGGGGAGAAGTCAGTAAAGTTTATAGAAAAAAGGCAATCAATAGAAGATGACTTTGACTAATTACTAGCAGTACAGTGCATTAGATTAATACCTCTGAAAACACTTTTCCTGAAAGGCGGATGACATGTTTGCAGATTTGATAGTAGAAGCTAAAGAAAACTGTCAATATACCAGTTTGCTTGTTGAATGAAAGAGAGCTCTTTTTTTTTTTTTTTTTTCATGCTCAGGTGAACACCCTCTGATTCATTTATTGAAAAAATGATACAAATAAAAGGCTAAACTGAGCCAGTGAGAGCGGGTGGGATAAGGGTAACGCAGAAAAGAGCATGTGAGTCCATATACAGAGGAGCACCTAAAGAGTCAGAGGCTTCCCCGACTCTTCCATTTCAGGGTGGTCGCTACTGCTGGCTCCGAAATCATGTAGGAGAATGTAAAGAAGACCTTTCCTCAATTGGTGCTAGAGTAAGTAGGGCTTGCATTCATGCTGCCAGATGGCTGCCTTCCTGCAGGGGGTGGCCATTACATTGCTACTTAGCAACCTGGCTGCTTGGGCACTGCTGACCTCTCCAGTTTGGGAAGGGGCATGGAACGCACCTGATGCTCAGATGACTTTAGTAGGTGCTGAAGTTAATCGTGAATGGATCGGTAGTGATACGTGACAGCAAGGCAAAGGAAGGAAGGACTTAAAGGCAGATTAGAGGGGAAGCTGTTGCTTTTATACCTTTGGGCAAGTGTCTGTTTCCATGAACACAGGAAGAAATTTATGGTACTGATTTAAGGTTGGCTGGGAGCAATGCGGGAGGGAGTGAGGATGCTGAGAGGCTGCGGCATTGCAGCCGTTCCCTAGCTGCTTGTGAGCCTAACCACTATATTGTATTGTTCATACGCACATGTGGACAAAAACTTTTTAAAATTCACAAAAGGAAAAAAGAAATTAAAATAATTGTCTCTTTAGAGAACAATTACTGCTGTCACTTCTTAATTACAGGTGGGCAACTTTACAGGATAGCTCTACTCAAAGACTTAGGAACTCCTGGTCTGAGGGTGCCATATGGCCATTAGGTGCTCATGCTTTGACAGCATTTGTGAACCGGAGGCTCCATTCTCACCCTCCTTCCCCAAATTCCAGAGGTGAGTGTGCACAAATGGTTCTGGGGATGGGATTCTGCAACTGAGGCATTTTCGTAATTACATCCAAGGTTTAATGTGTGCCCCTCAGAGTTGCTGCTCTTGCAGCACTACTTCTCATTCCAGTGGGGAACCCAAAATGCTTCAGAAGCTTTAGTGTCTCTCCTGCATAGTGCAAATTGCCACTTTTTCTTACCACTGAAATGCTGCTGTATCTGGGTTGGAATCAGGGCAGGAGTGGAAGGAGTACTCATTTTAAATAAACAAATAAATAAAAATAAGCAAAGCAAAATCCACCTTGGAAAGCCAAGGATTGAGCACAAAAGCTTAGGAGGTGAAGCACAGAATAGAAACTGGAAGACCAGGAAGAATAAAGGACAAATATCTGGGCATAAATGCGTAAGAATAAGCAACTAGGTTCAAAGTTAGGGCTTCTAAAGAAGTGGATCGATTTCCAGAATTACTGGGCTTCTCACTTTTGTGAATATAAAATTTAAACACTTATACTTGATAGGGATTTTAAGCATCTACATGCAACACCCCCCAGTCCCCAACAACAAACTCCAAACTTATGAGGGTTTAATTCACCTTTTTTTTTCCTAGATATATTCATTACCTGCACTTACGCTTTTTTAAAAAATTAAATTGAAAAAAAAGAATCCTATTAATCAGTAGTGGCTTATTACTGAAGGTAAATAGAACTACTGTATTGTTTTCCTAGTCATTTTCTAAAATGTATTTTACTTTGTTTTAAAATATCCTACCCATTTGTGACCAGGGTAAATAGTTCCCTGCCCCCTTGAAGTTGCCTGAGTCTGAACAATGTTCAATCTCCCATCTCTCTCTCTCTCTCTTACCTATTATAATTAAGTTCTCTTTGATTTGAACAGATTGGACGATAGGAATTCATAATGTTACATCCTGCACACTGAAGCTAACTGATTAAGTGCTTTAAATTATTCTTCCTGACAGAATGATAAAGTTACAATCTGTTCAGAGATGATCTACAGCTTGCCAGACTCCTACCGCTTCTTTCTACATTCATTTATCTTTTTGTCAAGCAGTTAAAAAAAAAAAAAAAAGCACCTCAATTCCATAGATCTTTTAAAGTCATCAGAACATCTGAATTATTAATGAGACTTTAAGGGAATGGTTCCTGATGGGGGCTGGTTTAAGAAAGGTTGTAAGAAAAAAATAAAAACCTGGGAATGCGTACACATCAAAATAATTTCAGCTCCATTTAAAAAACCATTTAGTTCAAGTGTGACACATGAACCATTATGCATTTGTGGAAACCAATTTTATGTGATCTACGATTAAACTAACCTTTCAGAGAGGTGTAAAGTGTGATGGTTATCATGTTTTAAAAGCCTTGCAAGATCACATAAACAATTTCAAACTAACAGTTTTCTAATGGTTTGTGTTTAAAATGATTTTGAGGCAAGTTAAGCACTGCGAACTTTTATCTCTACCTTCTTTTTTAACATATGGTGCACAAACTTTCCTTACAAACAGAACTTGGTGCAAGCTAATTCGATCTCATAGCAAGAAAGGGGAGAACAGCGTGATTGCTAAGGATCGGGGATGAACTGCACTGTATTTCTCAGCAGCCAGTGTAAAGCGCGCCCATCTCCCCTGCTTTCCCTGGAATTTTCAAAACAAGGCAATTAGTTATATGTTAATCTTTACAATAAAACTCATATCCAGAGAGCTGATCTTTAAAAAGACACCATCAAGTGTCTTTTTGCCTTTCCCTGGCAAGTAATAAATACAGACAATAAATAATAAATGCCAGAAACTGGTAGATTCTAATTTCTTTTGCTGTTTAAATTTCTTTTTGCCAGACTGAAACCTTGGTCCAGGCATTATCATCTCCAGCAGGAGATGCTTGGGTCCAGCTTTATACCTTTCATGCTCCTTTTCTGTTCTTAAAATTGTCTTTGACCACATAATGATGAGTCTCCTGTGAAGGTCCATCAATCTCTATACTTACCTTTGAAATGTGAGCTTGACGCTCCTCATCTTTACAGTTGGCCACTAAGATATTCTGCTCCAAGTTAGTAAATGCGCTTCTTGAATCCCTTACGCACTTTTCAATCTTTTTTGTTATGCTCACAGTTTGACTTTGATATGTCTTCCATAGTCTTAGCACAGATTTATACATATCTTACACAAACTACTTACTCTTTCCTTTAAATCAGTCAAAAAACCTCTTTTTAAGTCTTCATATAATGTTATATTCACCAACTTTTTTTTAGTTCTCTGTTTCATTCACTCTGTTTCTCTCCCTTTTGGTGTATGCATATTGATCCTTACCACATGTGTTTCTACATTATAGTGAGAACAGGCCTAGTTTTCTGGTTTTGGTTTTGTCTTTTTGGGTTTTTTTTAAAGAGCTGCTCAAGAGAGTCCCTGATCTTCCTACACTATTTGACGGGTTTGTTTTTGACAGTATCACCTGAGAGATGTCAGAACAGCTAAGTAACTTCATGTATCAGAAAGCAGACATCATTTACTTTCCTCGCAAACACCTGTGTTTGCAATGGGCTATCAGCATCCCAGTGCATCCATGAAGGTTCTAAAGGCTTCCTGCTCTTATTACAAACAAATAAAAATTAACACCTTGTGTAAGACTGTTCCCTGCAGCATAAAAAGATATACATCATTAAAGTAAAATGATCAAAACACAGATTTCTTCAACTTGTGCGAGACTCTAGCAATTCTCTCCAACAGATTTATTGTTCCGGTGTTTTAAAATTTCTGTCATTAACTCTGGACTGAATAATCACATTTGAATAAATGTCACTGTGAAACACCCTCTCTTCTGAGCAGAGTCAAAGAAAGTACTAGCTAAACATGACACAAAGATTTACTAAACCTGTATTCTCACCATAATCCCAAATTACCTTACAATTGTTTTAAACATGCTTTTTTTTTTTTTCTTTTGTGACACAGTTTCAAACGAGTCTGTAGGTATGTGTTTGTGTGCCTCCCCCCCTCCACATAGGCAGCTTGTTTATACCTAAGCTGAAAATTCTCCCATGCAATTTCTTCCTGTACGAGGAAAAAGTAATGAAAGTTTCTCCACCCACCTGCTCAGCAAGTCTTTGTTTGGCAGATGAATATTTTACATGTGGCAGGCAGTAAGTAATTTGCAGGAAGAGAGAGAAGAAACTATTCTTACTTTCCGTGAAAGTCTTTATTTTGCTTCAAGGAAACTAAAGCTTTGGGACAAAAATGCTATTCTGGACTTGCTCTTGTTGATTTTTAATTTTTTTAAACTAGCAAAATTCTTACTTTTGACAATGGGAATTTCACTGGAAAATGCCTGACTCTGCCAGTTTAGGACAGCAGGAACCCACAGCAAGAACCTGCAGGTTTGCTAGATGTGATTTTGCGTCAACACTCAGATCAACAAAGTTGCAAAGAACCCAGTTTCCATTGTCGAAACCAAGCTGGGACTGATATAAGAGGCAGGACCTCCACTGCAAGCTCTAAAATGTCATCTCTTGTCATTGGTGCTGCTTTTCCACTTTCAAAAACTAACCAGGGTAGTTTCTAAGAATGTTTGACTTAGGATAGATTTCTGAAGAAACAGGAGATTTCCTGTTACTTTTCAAGATAAAAAATGCTGACAACATAACAGAGTTGATTTAAACATTCCTCTACTTGTAAGGACCAACTTCCCAATTTCATTAGTATAACCATATCAGAATATCTTCGTCACTGTAATAAACTATTTGATAGATTTGTCTATAGTTAGCAGCGAAAAGTGCATGTGGTACAACTAAAAGTCAAAACTTTAGAATTCTGACTTTAGGACAGAAGATGAAAGAGCATTAGAGTTCAGTATGATTTGAGGAATTCAGATTTGCATCCATATTAGATATTCCTCTTCTGTTGCTCACAAAGTAGACAAGTTGCTTCTCTAATGTACACTGTCTATATTTTTCTATTTGAGCTGCACAGTTATACAAATACTATTTATTTGGATAAAATCATTATGTAGTATGTGACAAGTGGCTTCATATTAACACCCTCCCTTCCTCTGCTAAATGGAAAACAGATAAAACATTAATGGAAAAGCATTTTGGTGTCAAAGCCATTAACATTCTCCCAAAATGCATAACTGCTCTCGACTATCTTCAGTCAATACTGCCAACATAAAGAGATGCTCATGAACGTACACGGGGGACAGGGGAATAGGGAGGGGAGAGGAGGAAAGGAATTGGAATGAGGAATGGGAAATTAAAGTAATGTCTGCACCAGGGTAGGCATCTTCACTGAGCAGGAACCTGGGCGTTTCCAAAAGGACACGTGCAATTAGAAAGGCAAGCAGATGAGAGGATAAAAAATAAAACAGGGTTGAGCAACAGCAGCAGCAGCAGCAGCAGCCAGTTTTACTTCTGGTTTGGAGGGAAAAAAAAGGCAAAAGAAAACCAACAAAACAACCAACAAAACAAACAAACCAATAACTGAATAAAGTTTGTGACTACTTTTTTTTTTAATTTCACAAGTTTTCACAAGGACAAAGTTATAGAAGGAAACCCACAGCAGTTGCTAGGTCATGCAGAACCATTAATTGTCATACCTTGGCCCATTCTATTCATCCTTGTTGCACTTTAGAAAAAGAAGTAAGCTATGTAAGTTTTACAATGCTTTTAAACTGTCATATTTCCTGTTGAGCACTTTAACTGGCACATCCTTGTAGTCATAAATATTCTTGGGGCAAAACATGAGAACTTTCTTTGCAAAAAGAAACACATGAATTTGTCTTTATGATGAAGAGCAACTGTAATAGACCCATTTGTAGGGGAGCATCCAGAATTTGCAACGTAATTCACTGATAGGACTTACAGCTGCATTTGAATGCACACACACATATATACTGTATTCCAATCATCATGCTTAACGCTGCACAGTGGTACTTTCTGTAGCCCACGTATATGGTTCCAGGTTTTGTCAGTAAAAGTGCTTGGCTCATTGTCAATTCACACAGCAAGCAAATCTTCAAAATTATCATGCTTGGGGAAGGGAAAGGTAGAAAACAACACTAACCATAAAAGCACCTTGTCTGGGTTGGCAGTTACAATGCTAATCACTCCCACATCCAAATATTTATTTTCTGTCTGCATGCTTTCTTGCTGGGTAGCCAGGGAAGGTGGTATGTGTTTCTGGCCTCCCTACCCTGGGAAACTCTTCCTCTCACCTAGAACTAGTTCTATATTTCACAAGGCTGGCATTTGAAATTAAAAAAAAACAAAACCAAGCTTGGAGTATCATTTCTGTGGCTGTCTAGGATAGGTTCCTTCCCACTACTTTAATTCCCTGCCACAATTTTTGTTTGGCTAGGTGTGTCGTTGGTGAGAATCTGCATGGAACAAACTCTGGCACGTGCCTAGAACATGATGCCTCAGCACGGTGAATATTTCCAGCCCAGCCCTCCGGTTCTGCTCACTGCCTGTCTAGGGCACAGCACCTTTTCTTCCCAAATGGGAGAGACCTTAAAGGCACTCAGTTGTCTTCCCCTGTATTCCTGCATACTGGCATGGACCTGTTGAAAAGAACCATCTAGAACATGGAGCAGGATTTCTGGAGGATCTTCGCATATTAGGGCTCTTGTTGGAAGATTTATACCACCACTCTAACTTGGAAAAGTTAAACTACCATCTGGGGAAAGGAACAAAGTCCCTCGAGATCTGATACTTAAGCATAGAAAAATGCTTGCTCTTTTCTGAACATTATTTATTCTGTACATAAGGTGACTAATTCACCTTTTAAAGATGTAAAAGTCCCAGGAAGGCAGTTTTTAATGACTTACATCCAATATTTATGATACATATGGCTTTTTATCCCAAATGTCAAAAGTGAAAGAAAATATAGCTATTCGTGTGGCAGTATAAATAGACAGAATAATAATTTAATATGCAATTAGACTCTTTCTAAACTTAAATTAAACCATTGGAGTTTTACAACTCCATGCCCAGGCAATTTCAGTGTTAAAGGGAAAAGACACTATCTCCAAAAGGCTAGTATTTTAGAGAAAGTCCTTAAACAAGCAGAAAAGTCCCTGATGTTGCTTTGGTATAAAGCAGGTGCGTAGCAATAATCTATACAAAGAGTGTAAGCCCTATACAATATAATCTTTGAGAGTGAAACATCAGTAAGGATTTTTTTGGTTGTATTTTTTTTTCTTTTTTTTTTTTTTTAATGGGTTAGTTTTAAAAGCATCAAATAAATGTAACAACTCCTGTAAATATGAATATAAAAATATCTACCGCAACATACATCAACAATTCTGCACTAAATGACTGACTTTGTGTAACTCTGACACCAAGAGCAAGTGTTCATGTTAAATATACTCTATTTTCTAATATGTAGAGTAACTGCAGTGAGTTATTTATGTTTTCAGTGTGCCTATGGGTTTAGAATTTTTTTTCTCCCCTAGCATCATAAATAACTTTTGGTCCGTCTGCTTTGTTGCTGTTGTGCTTAAGGGTTTTATGGTGGTGAAATAAAAATGACAATCACATGCACACTGTCATACATATGCAAAATATGTGTACAAAAAGGGAGAACTCTATGGGAAAACAGGGAACATTACTGCTGGAAACATTAACTGGGGAGAATGGGTGGTGAATGCAAGTTTCACACACAGTGGGAGCAGGTACACATATCAAAGTCTATCTTCCTGCACATACTTCTGTTTTTCCCGGGAATCCCTGGTCTTGGTGCGGTTCGGTCGGTTTGCTGTTGAAGGGATGGAGTGAACTGATGAGCTCTTCTTACTGGAAGAATAGGAGGAATGGGAGGAATGAGAAAGACTGGCCCGGGACTGGCCAGCGTTGTGGTCAAATTGCATCAAACAGAAGATCAAGTCTGTCGGCACGAGCTCAAATTCATAGGGTGGGTTTGTGATAACATAACTGGAAAGAAAGAAAGAAAGAAAGAAAGAGAAAACAGGTTTAGATTTTTACTAAAAAATTCTTCTAGAGTTGCTATTCTCATGAACATTTACCCAGATTTTTGCATTTCTGTTTCCTTCAGTGTGTACCTAATTTTAGCTCATATAATACCCGTTACAATTTAGGACCTTGTTATGTCAGACATCACTTTTTGTATGTTTTCTGTTGCACAGACATACTGTCTGAGTAGGATGTTCTTCAAGTGAATCACGTCACGATTTTTCAGAGAAGACACCACACGAATGACCCTCCTTTCTGTAGCTGCACTGTAGTGCAATGACTCTAGCAAACAGATTTACATATTAACAAAACCCAGTAACATACCCACAAGCAATGGTATTTAAAGAATGGCTGAAAAGCAGGGAGAGGACAATTTTAGGTGCAGTTATATTTAACTACGTATTTGCTTTATATTTATTAAATATTTAAATACTGCAACCCCACCTTCAATTAACCCCCTTTCAAGGTAGGAAGGGCTTATAGACCCTGCTGTTAATTTTTTTAATGCATGTGAAAAACATATTTGAGCAAGGCAATAGGCATTTTCTGTCCAAGCAAGAAATGAGTAAAAATTGATCACAAAGCCCTCAACTTCTTTGCAAATTAATTCAGTCCTTGTAAGAAATCTGGCTTAGCCGCCTCAGGGACAGAAGTCACTTATTAATCCAACAAATAATCCCATATATAGCAAGTACAGTGTAAATCTAAACTCAAAATCATTTATTCTCCCCAATTTGTCCAAATTCTAACAGAAGAAACCACTTTGGTGGGCTGCAGCATTGTTTATTGCCATGTTCACTCAATAATGATGCTTTTTGTAGAGAATGAAACAGTAACAGATGGTAGATTTGTGATAGTTCTGGTATGGGTCTGCATGTGTATTTCTAGTAGGCACTTAATTAAGACACATTTCAAGTAAGCTGCTAAATGGCCTTCGGTTTGCAACAATGGAAATGTGTCTGCTCTATTTAAAGCACTGAGGTCAGTCTTGGTGCTACTGAAGTAAGAATGCAGCCCACCAAGAGAAGGGTTTCCATGTACTGGAAGAAATGTTTATTAGATACGGACAGTACCAATAGGAAGCCCACAGGAGTATTTTCTGAGCATTCAGAAAAAAGAAAGTCTAATTACTATAATCTAAATTATTATCCAGTAATTTACAGCTAACTGATATAAGCAAACTGAAGTCCTTTCCTTGCATGCAAGTAGTGAACCATCACAAAACAAACAAGATAAAGATATGTTCTGAAAATTTACTTTAAAAATTTTTGATTAAAATTGGCTGAAAACTTATGCTATGATATCCAGCCTACGACTTAAACTCAGCTAAAGAGTCATCATGAGGTCCTCAAAGAGTTAGCTTTTGAGGCAAAGTTAGGTAAAAAATGAAGCAAGCTCTTTTTTAGATTTATTACAGACCCTGGGATCTTCCTTGCTGAGAAGACTGAAGAACAGTGAAGCAGAGATGTTGTAAAAGCCTGGACTTACCGTTTAGTGCATTGGCTGGGAGTACTTAGATGTGCATCCCTTAATCGATAAATTCCAAAGCAAAGCATATTGTATGTTTTCAGTGCTTTACAAAATAGATCTCCATAACAACCTCCATCCTAGGAGAAAGGGGGGGGGGGGGGGGGGAGACATAACAGCACATTTTTTTCTGTTCTTTTCTCTGTTAACACCATGTCAGGGAAAACCATTTTCAGTATGAGCCTGTACAAAAAAGGCAATGTATAGACAGTCTGTTGTTTGTCACAAATGAGAATCTTTTACCCAAGGAAATGAATAATCTAAACGTTTTACTTCAAATAAGTAATTTGATCATTATTTTGGAGAGCCTTGGTCCATGAAATGATGGTAAACCGGGAAGAGCGAGTGATTTGCTTTAAGCTGGAAATAGAAATTTTGGTACCAAACAACATATTCTACAAATTACATTAACTGTGGTATTAAAATTGTTAGTATTTTTGGCCCTTTTTTGGCAGCAGCCATAATGTCATCTTGACAAATAAATTCACTGGGGAGCACATCAGAAATAAGAGTTCTGAGGAGTTAAAAGGATAATAAAATATCTCCCACTTTAAAATAATGATGAAATGTATGCCATTTTCCATAAATATTATAAAATGCTTTGATTAGAAAAAAAAAAAAGTTTGGATTTGATGATTTGTATATCTAAAATATTGTTTCTTAAGTAATGATGAGTGTTAATGCATTCTACCATCACTGATGTAGTGTAATTGAGGCTCTGGTGAAATAGCATTTGGAGGATTGGTATTGCTTGTTTTATTTGTGAAAACGTTATGCCACATGCCCAAGTGTTTTGATGAGCTGTTAATTTCAGCTGTGAATGGATTTCTACATGAATTGAAAGGCTGTTTTCTTGTATCCATGTACTCTCATCACCCTTAATCTTTAAACTGGGATTCCCTGTCATTTCTGTGAAGAAGGTTGCTCCATTCTTTTTGAACAGAGCTGGTGAACACAAGGTTAATTTAAGAAATATCAAATCCTATATCATCATCATCAAAGCAAAGCGGGTGCTTTGGGATTTGTCTCAAGATTAAAATATTTGGTCCGGAAAACATTTCTAGATACTTCTTTATCCAAATGCACTGTTTTTTTAAAGATGGTTTGTTTATTTGGTTTTAGTTGTGGGTTGTTTTTTTTTTTACTTCAACCTTAAAATACTGGAGTCAAAATGTCAGATCATTAGGATTTCACAAGAATTTTAGTTCATCCAGAAACAGCACGAAACAAACCTCAGTCTCGTTTTCAAGCTAATAAGCATATTTTAAGCAAGAACTGGAAGCTCCCTGGGAAGACTGAATAAGCTTATCAAAACCCAACAAAGGTATAGATATTGCTCATGTTTGCAATGGATTATTGTCAGAACGGTCATATGATCCGAGTCAGCTCATCCATTTCTTTAGCTGACAACTAAGAAGAGCCCCAGGATTTTGTGTATGGAATACCCAGGCAAGGAGCCTGGGAAGCCGTATAGCTTCTTAAAAAGGGCAAAAGCAAACCCGGCACCCTCTGCTGTTAATTGTCAAACAATCCAAAAGCTCTCTTAAATTAAACAATAGACATTATAGGCTAATTAAGGTAGATTTTTACTTAGTCTGAGAGAAAACCAACAGATTGCAGACCAGCCTTGGTCCTACGTTTCCCTCGTGATCTTACCCCTAGGTCTGCAAAGGGCCCATCATACAAAGCCAACTGAGCAACTCGACACCTGTCCCTGTTTGCAAGTGTCTGGGGCGTGCTGTAACCTCCTCTCAATGCATTTTCCTCAGCAATCAGTGCTTCCAGCTCTGGTGTGGCTCCTCCAGTTACCAATGTCCGTATCAGTGTGAGGATATTGTCATTGAAGTATGTCTGCAGAGATAAAAGAAAGCTCTTTAAGCAAACACCATTAAAGTCACAACTGAAGACATCCAAATTACAACTTTTCTGGGTTTCTGCTGTTTAAAGTTCTTGGCTGTCTCTTCAAATAATTTTATATAGAAAGTGAAAAGACAGCAGCCTCCAATTACTCTATTTTCTTCTATCCCATTAGGCTCCTATACTAGATCCTTCCTTTTAAACACCAATTCAGGCTGATTTTTATTAAAGTACAAAAATTTGAATGATTTATGTTTCCTATAATTGGTGTTAGTAGTGATGCAATGACTGCTTTCCTTCTCATTGCCTTCATGTCTAATAATGGGCTTTAGGACATGTAATTGTAAAATTCAGACCACATTTAAAGCTTACACAGGCTAGATTGCCTTTTTACTCTTGTCACCAATTCGTTGGGGAGCTGCCTTTGTGCTGCAAATGTCATTACTTATTACTGTGGCTGGACTCTAGCAGTCTAACCGATGTATTGTACTAAACATCTTATTACGAGACTTGACAGTGTTCAGACATAAGCATGTATCAATTAAACATCTTGAGTTCATTCCAGATAAATGTATGATGAGTTTGGGATCCTGGTGGTCCTTTTAAAAAACTCTAGGGTATAGGGTAAGTGTGGTTTATTAGGGAAGATTTACTCCACACTGACATTTTGCCAGCATCTGTAGCATTGCTGGTCTGTCAGGCAAACAATGGGTATTTTAAATATTAATTTAATGCCAGATGAATGACTTTCAAGTTCACTTAAAAGTATACCGGTATAGTTCAGAGATATTCAGTTAAATATCAGCAATGTAATGTACAGGGCAAAAAATACCGTTGAACAAAACAAGGAGACACCGTCACTTACAGTGTCACTAACGTCTGTGTTTTCAGAAGCTTTGCGAGTGTGGGGGACGCACGAGAAGGAAATGAGCTCCCTGTAGGGTGCACAGGATTGACATTACTGGTTTGTGGATTCCATTACTAGATTTGTGAGTTTTGTCAAACTTGGGACTTGGAACAAATGTCTGTAATGCAACCAAGTAAAAATTAATACTGAATTCTCAAACAATGCTTGTTGTCCAAAGATAACGCTTTTTAAATGATACTTTTCAATGAAATTCATTGCTCCATCCATATAATGTAATTGTATTTAATACATGGGTAAACTGAGGTACAGGTTGAAATATTTTATCCTGAGGTCAAAAAGCGGAACTGGCTTCCTATCCATGTTACTTCGACATTCTTTCTTTGTATAATGAAACTTCAATTTTATTGTTCACTTGAGATGACAGATAAAACAGGAGAAAATGAATTCTATGTGGCAACGTTTTTTGCTGTTACACTGAAGTATCATAACTTCAAGCTTCTCTACTTATTTACATAGGCGTATCTGCCCTTCACCTGTTGAATACACTAAAATGAGAGGAACATATTGTTATTGTTTTATATGCCTTAAAGCAAATATTTGCAACTCATCAACTCCAATTATTTTAAATTAGCCCGGTAAGGCACTACAAATTTTAAATATAAAGTGTACTGTAAAGAGTTGTCCGACCCTAGCAGGGATTCAGGAAGATTCAGTTAGGCTAAAATAACAGCTAATCTGACATCAGCTTTTACATATGTGGATACACTGTGTAGCAATTCAAGTGTAATACTCAAACCTTTCTTAACGTATAGAAAAATCAATGTGACCCCTTGCAGGAATGTAAGTCTGGAGTGATTACATGATGTTTAATAGGAATTGCCATGGTGAGAGAGAAAAGATATTCAGGCATGATTGCTTATTCTTCAATTACTTCTCGATGTCCCTGAGGTGAGAATCAGAGTTGCCCTCTTTGGCAACTCTTCCCACTGTGCTATACTTCTCCAACATGGAAGTACTCAGAATAAAAAAATCAGCATTAAGTTTAGTCTCTTTTCTTAGTCTTTGTCAGTGGATACTATATACGACTCAACTAAAATAATTAGCACAATTCCTTTGCTCCTGCAGTTAGGCAGCAATGCTATGTGACATCAGTCTCGTGATATAAAGCCAAATTCTGCCAGATCTAGAGGTTGTAGGCACTGCAATTGTAGAAGCTGGAAAAGCCCTTTCAGTAAAAAAGTACTCCAACACATTCTATATGGCACTTTAAGGACACACCTTCACAAAAGCATACCATTTTCTGCCACAGTATCTTTTCTCATGCCTTCCGAGCTCTTTTACTCAGTATTTTTGATCCCTTTTTCTTCTCTAAATAGTGACATTCAGTATTATTCAAAAATGGTATTCTCAGTTTTACATCTATAAATCAATATGGAAAAACATGAAACAAAAGTAAAGCATATCTTTATTGGTAAATTTTTCAAGTCCAGTTTACAATGAAGCCAACTATGGCAAGAAATGTTCACCTGCTCTAAGACTGATAGATGCTGGGTCATGTAAAACAGCCTGGTTTTATAGACTGATGACTTGCGGTTATTGGTAAAACATGCAAAAGTCTAAAATTGTACTAATAATTTTATTACTCTTTAGGAGGTATCATTAGACCAGCCTTCACCGGCTTCTAACTCTCTCTTTATTCTGTAATTCAAATTATAGCCAGGATCCCAGATTTAAACACATGTACTTTTAGCTCATCTGAATTTGGTACTGTGCAAGTACACAATTACCCCTTATCATGTATTTGGCTGTAGCTCACTACAGCATGATCTACTAAGAAATTATACTGTGGCCGTATCACTCATTTTACTACAGATCTCATATTAAATGGAGAAATGAAAGCAGTAGTAAAATAATGTATCAAATCAGGCACCTGTCACAAATTCATTAATACAAATAAAATAATATAAAATAGAATAAAATACCTCCTCCCCCAGGCCCCAGTGCAATTAAGACATAACGGGCCCAATTCTGACTTATGTCCTGTGCCGACCGGGAGTAACTCTGGGAGCCATACACCACTATGAAACTGATGCAAATGAGAAAAGAATCAGATCTATTGTCGATGGAACAGAATGCTGTCACCAGAGAAAGGCCTCCCACTGCTAGACAAATGTTAAGGCAGAGCTAAGACACTTATTAGCAAAGGAGCAACATTTATCTTGGAACAATGGCTTAATTTGGGTTTCACACCATGACTGACATGGATGTCACCGTTTAATCCGATAGATGAGTGCAGCCAAATGATGGGTTTTGGTTTTTTGCCATCCATGAGTGAAAAGATTCCAACTTTCAGGACGGACTGCTCCAGCATTGCGACTGATCAGAAAATGCCTAACCATAAGCAAGAAAGGATGGGTGAACAGGAAGCTGTAACTTGTCACCTCCTGCTAAATAGGGTTGCTTCCTCCTGGACTAATATATTTAACATTCCTCAGGAGAAACCCGTCTGTCCACGCTTTCAACTGTCACAAAAATCAGACTCCTCTCACTACCTCTTGCCAGTTTGGAACTGGGGGACACTGAAAAGCTGAACTAGCTGATATCCATTTCCTTTGGAATAATAATACACTGAAATTAATTTGAGAGTGATCTTCTACTTGCTCTGTGGGAGGGTACATGGCCTGGATATGCCAGTACTCATAAGAAACCGATCTACAGAATGTCTTTGGAAAGGTGCTGCTGTACTTAAAGTAACAAGACACTTTCCAGTGATGGTAGTGAATATCTTTTGTTGACTGTAAAATTGTAACTGAAGAAATACTTGTTTGCTTCTGCCATTAACGGAACCCCACACTGGACATCTGTATGACATCGCTATAATTGGCATCCGGAATGAGAATATGAAATAGGTGTAATCTAAACACAGAAAAAAGGAAATGCATCATAGACACTGAAACTGGGTAAATAGCAGGGAAATTCCGACATAGATATCTGAGCTAGCAGTGCCACCTAGCCCATGCTCCGGAATTGTACTGCAGCTCTTTCAAACGTTTCGGGGATGCTTTCCTGTTTGTTCAATCATTTTTTAAAGTATAATTACCAGAGTGCTTATGTTTTGCAGTTAATGCTGTCAAGCCTTTTAAACTAATTGGTCTTTTACAGAAAATTTTACTGAAAATTAGCACATCTTTTAATAACATTGCTTTAACTTTAACAGCACTTTGCCTTTCATTTATAATTACTCTAAATTTGTCATTTTCCAAGTCATATCTGCCATTTTTTTGTGTTTGCTAGTGTTTTTTTATGGATTTCTTTTAAGAAGACTCCTCCTCCACTGCATGCAGTTTTCAACATCTCTTTCAAAAAAATGTTGTTTTTCTTTTTCAGTTGGAGGAATTCTGTTGAATGAGTAATATATATCCAAACCTGGGGAATGACTGAGCTAAAGTCAGTAACTTATACCAATAACAAAAGGGCCTTTGAGACCGAATCAACAGCAGAAAATAAATAAGAGTGTTTCACAGTTTGAAAATCTATCGGTTCTCAAAATATTGTCCAAACTTTAAAGAAGTTTGGGACACTTTACGTTACAAGATGCTGCTTGCTAATCCCCTGAACAGACTTGCACAAAAACTAGTCATGTGTTTCAAAATGTCTATATCACAGATTAGAACAGTTTCTTTTCCATATAAATAAGACTGTGAGGATCCCTGAGGGAGAACTCTTGATTAAGGGATATACTGAAAAGTTATTTTAACTGTTTTAACTATTGTCTTCCATTCTGTGTTTTCATTTATATGAAGAAAAAGTAGAATTTAGTATTACAGAACAAAAATCAAGACAAAGTTTTAGCACAACGAAATAAATTCTAGGATATCAAATGTAAAATGGTATAACCTGGCTCTGGAGATCTTTGCCTCTAACGGCACCACTCCGACAGTACATCAAGCCTATCGTCAGTGCTATGTACGGGAGGGATGCCAACCTGCCAGAACTTCTGTGGTTCTCATAGCTTCAGCGCCAAAAGGAATAACAGAATAGCAGAGAAGCTTTGGCTCTCAGGTCAAACCTTTGAAGGTACTGTGTCTTGATAAAACTGGTTTCCTTGCACGCATAGGATTTTCTGGAATAACTAACTCAAGAAGACCCAGAAAAGGAAAAAGTACTTCTCAAAAATTTGCTTCTCTTAAGCTATACTTTTTTATAGCTGAAGATAATCTTTTTACAAAACATCCACATTATCTAAAAGATGCTTCCGATCCCATGTTTTTTAGTCCCATTCAATTTGGTGATGAGAATATGCTTCGCTATTCAGGAGCAGCGCCATCTTGAGACTGACAGACTACCCACGTTCTTTCCCTGGGTTTGCATAGGCTATGACAAAACAAATATTAATATATCATTCAAGTCTCTGATGGCAGTAGATGTCTCTTCGAAGACATAATAATGATTAGCTGGCATGATTTAACAACAGCCACTGCCACACTTAAAACATGAACCAAGCCTACAGTCTTCACACAGAGTACAATAATGCACTTAAACCGAAGCCTGGAGAGACCACTGTTACCAACTCATCAAAAAGACAATGCAGTTTTTGAGCTCGTTATTGTCTTCTGAGCAATGATCTTCGAACTACCACACTGTGAATCATAGGCTTGTGGAATATATTGCCTTTGCTGCATAGAACAAACTGTGTACAGATAGCCTGTAAATAACATTTTGAAAAGGAAACTTCATTAAGCCTTTTATCTTTGAAATAAGAAAATAACAGACCATTTCAAATTTAAATATCTAATACTGTCGTCTTCTAGGAAATAACGCTAACCTAGCAGAACGTAATGGTCTTCAGCATTCAGATTTGAATCAGAACGTGACAATGCATTTTCTAATCTGTGATTCATGAGTAGGGTTTACTCTACTACTTCTATATTAATAAATTTATATAAAAGAAAATAATCATCTCATACAGATCAATACTGTTGAATTATTATTATTCAATAACTGAATACTTTAGCAAATTATTTTAAATATATATACCTCTTTTTCTATATACATACATCTATATGTACGTTTCAAATTACCTGCAGTCAGAAAGAGTACTGTATGTGTGGGTATTATTCTACTTTCTAACCTTTCTTACACCTGTTCTATTACAAAACGCCACTACTGGAGAAGAGATTCATTCGTAATGGAGCAGTTCATGTATTGTACGGTTGTATTGTAGCCCATATGAGGAATTTGCATTCCAGAGATATCGACAGAGGTCATAAGTTGGAATTTTTCTATAAAAATTAAGCAATAAAGAGCCCTGAATTAGCAAGTGGATCAAACAATGAACTCTGTCCTTTTCTCTCAGTGAGCTGGCATAGGCCGGCACAGTGCGAATTATTTCCTTCTTACAGAATTCCCGTGCAATTAATAGGATAAAAGCATGACTGCAGATCTCTCAATTTAGTTAGGATTTTGGGTTCAGTTTGCCGACACTCCCTTGACATTAGGCACAATAAATAGAAGCTGGTCCCTAAAACTAGTGTACTCTAGGAAAACAATAGAGATAATACAGTGCAAGTAGATTCATTTGTGTGAGAAATGGTCTTTTCCTTGGAAAAGAAGTGAAAGGAGTATACATCCTTCCCACGAGAACAGGGATAGTAAAGGGAAAACATCTCACACATCTTACACTTTCTGAAGGGTCAGGAAGAATTGTACTTTTCCAACTCTTTACTAGGCCTTTGAGGAATAAAAGAGAAAATAATGCTGCCACCGATCAGCAAAGTGGTGAAAGAAAAGACAGGATGGTGAACAATTCTGACTGAATCCTTGGCTTGTCTTCTTGATTAGTATTTTTTCTAAGTTAGAATTTTTTACTCTTGTTATCACATTTACTTCTCTGGCTTCAGGCTGCACTGTCCCTGACATATAATATGACCACTTAGATGTGAAAATGTTTGAAAAAAAGACTCTGCTGAAGAAAGAATTTGCAGAAACAGAGGGGTGAGTTATCAAAAACTAAAACTTAATAAAAACTAGCAATAGCTTAAAATATTGTGAGGATTATATGAAGAGTCCCAAGTAAAAATTTCCGAACAGTAATTTCCACATATTTCTTATTGCGTCACTATTATCTACACGATACACCTTTGCACAAGAAAGCAATGGTGTCCACAACATTTCACTCTCTGTCTGTGGTGATGCCAGGGGCAATCAGAAGAATTAACCCCACTTTTTCCAAGATTCTGGAAGTGCCCTACTGAACGATTCATTCAGGGATGTTGATTTCGATAACAATGTGAGCAGATAAACAGCTCTCAGTATAACAATTTGGAGCCGTCATATTAAATTATTCCCATTTATAATGTGAAAATGCTAAATATTTTATTCATAGAGATTTTAATTAGAGAAGGTACAGAGTTTAGGTGTGCTTGCTTATGCTTTCTGAATTTGTCACATCTGCAAAATATGGCCAAGAACTTTCAAAAAAAGTATTTTCTGAGTTTATTGCAAAGTCCTAGGCTCCATTAGAATAAAATTTTATCAGTGTAGACTGATATTACTCATCTGTGGATGGAACATATGAGGAATATGGCAGGGAATAAAAATATGAAATACAGATACATAAATATGAAATACGAATAAAATACCAAATAATAAAGAGCATTGTGTTTTTTTCTGAAAAGCAAAAAGCTTCATTCTGAGTTTAGGTGAAGGTGAGACTTGGTTCCTTTAAGGAAATCTGTTTGCTGATTTCTAATATTATGTGTGGTTTACAACAGATGATTCCCAGTACCATGGAACTTTATTCCATGGGGCGCTCAGAAAGCATAAGCTCAGATTTTAAGCTCAGATTTTAAAAAGACTATGTCCCTGCTAGGTCCAGCAGAGCTTAATGTCCCTCTGAAAGAAGTACAGTTCACACAGTGCAAGGCTGGTCTGAAAACCCAACCAACATGAAGCAAGAGAGGATGAAAAGGAGTATGACTGAGGCATTTGCTTCAAAACTGTACTATGGCTGCAAACCAAAAACCCTAACGTAGACATAACCAAAGGCCACCATCTGTAGTTTCTGGCATGCACTTATGTTTTCATTCACAAGACAACTCATGTGAAAAAAAGATTACGACCTCTCTTCACACAAGTAGAGTTCACGTGATGCATACAATGGCTTTTGTATAGTTCTATCAGGGTCCCCCAGCACTCATACTCTGAGCATTGCTCGTGGCTACAGGAAATTAAAAGCTTAAAACACGGTTGATGCTGTCTGACATGAGCGGTGAGCGTAGGGACTGACACACAGAATTTGGGTCTGGGTTTCAGAAGGGAGATACAACATTTTTCGGTAAATATTACCCTTAAAGCCTGACATGAGACTCTGCCTTTAAAATTGTGGACTAATGGTAGTCCTAGATATCTCAATTGTTTTAAGGTCTCTGTGTCCAACTAAAAAATAACCTAGGTTAGGCTCTGAAATTCTTTTGACATCTAACAGAAATGTGTCTTCTCCTGATTACCTGTGGAGAAGGGACTATGCTTTCACGATCTTTCACAATAAGTCTGATGGAAGGGAATGAAAAAGGTTTTGTTTGCTTACTGCGCTCATGAGAGAGTCCAGCACGCTGACAGCAAATGCAGTTCCACATGCAAAGGGCTGTGTCAGATACAGTTCTGTGTCTGGATCATCATCATCATCTTGGTCCAAGAACTGAACATTTGAATCATTTACTGAAAATAATAATAATAAAATCATAAGGTGCTTCTGGGTCACCAGCACGTGACCTTACACATTACACAGTCAGAAAGAAAAAGAAACAGCATATGTCTGGAAACACAGACTTGTGTCTTTGACGTCACTGAAAATGAAATCAAGATGGATGTGAAAATGTGCATTTAAAAATCTGTTGACCATTATCTTGCTCGTAAGAGGTGACTCTTGCTCTTGAGAGGTGACTATCCCTTTGCTGTAAAAGTAGCTTCATGGTACCATCTGCCTGCACTCAAAACGAGATACACGATGCTCTTTTATATATCGAGACAATCTTGGTATTGGTCGGGTACAGTGGCTAAGGCTGTATGCAAGTACAGTGAAATGTTATCACAAGATACCAAGTCAGAACCCCATTGTAAAATAAAGGCTGTCCATAAAACTCCGATACAGCCCACAGGCATCTGTTGGATGTGCTGCTGTGATTCTTACTGGAGTGGTGTTAATGCACTTACAGCTCAAAAGAGGATAAACTGTACTTTTAACATGCATCTATCTGAATGAATGAGCAATACTCCAGCTCGCCTCCTGCATCTTTTTCCAAGTATTTGTCTCCATAACTTCACTTCCTTAGCCACAATTTCTATATTAGCCAGGCTGAAAAAGAATCTACATCAGGCTGTTCTAAAGAAAAAGCCCAAATAAAGCAATATTTGTCATTTAGACATTCTCTGGCATTTCATTGTCACAGTTAAGCTCTCTGCCTCCACCTCATTCCACTAAAAATAGTTGTTTCCTTGAGATCAGTGTATCCAGTGGATCATATTTCATGAAATATTTCATTTCCATATTAGTCCTCAGGCATGAAAGCAGACTTCTTAGCTATGCCGTTGAAATACCCTTTAACTTACTAAATGACAAATTAATTTCAGTTCCCGTGCAAGGAAGGGAAATTAAAACCTTTTTCAGCTTTTGAAACTGCACACATTGACTATGCGTCTATTCCCCATGTTACACATCTCCTGAGCCAACCCAGTGAGCTCTGAAAACAACACAAGAGCTGCTCTTAACTTGATCAAGTTTCAGCTCTGCATTCCTTAAGCTAGAAATTCTTCTGCCTGCTATTTGGATCTTCCGTCCTATATAGGTTCATTTTCCGTCCACTCCTTTTCCAACCTGTATATAGTACTGTGCTTGCCATGCTTAGCTTACAAAACATGAATAACTAGATAAAGCCTCACAATAGCTGTCTGAAAGAGATGAGAATTGCTATCATCCATTTAGAGCCCTGTTGAGCCAGTACTTGGCCATGATGATTCAGTCAGGACCTGAGTTTAAGCAAGTTTTAAAATTCCTGCCTTCCCACTCCCTGATGTAACCATGAAAATTTAACACATCAGCACTGCAAATGGAGAAGTGTTCTGCCTCGGGAGTCAGAAGAATTCCATCCTAGCAAACACCAATCCACAACACCCCTTTCTTTGTACAACGGCTATCAATTTATTCTCCAGATTCTTGAGCAAAATAGCATTTGAAAGCCTGACATATCATTTCAAAATGCACTTTTTTGAAGCGCTTGTGTCTTAGTTTAATTTGCCAGTTGAGAGTAGGCACTATCGAGAGTGGCATTCTTCTTCCACTTACATCTGGCAGACTAATACCTGACTTTGACACCAGCCTGCTAGCCGTGCGTGGTGTCAGTTTCTAAGGTACTACAAAACTAACGTGAATTCTGCAAGTGCGGTTTTATCCTCAATATTTTTATCTTCCTGATGCAAGTTAGCACACTAGGATTTCTCCGAAAGGTCTCCAGGCTAGGTGAGATAGGTTCGAATGGTGCTGCACCACAGGAAACGCTCATCAAACACTGCTCAAACAAGCTGGCGAGAGCTCTCTTTATTGAGAGGGAGCAGTGCAGGAGCTTGGCTGCTTTTTTTACAGCTTCAAAACTCGAGCTTCTGAGAAAAGGCCGACTCCCCCAAACAAACAAACAAATAGCTTAAGGGGGAGTACGATGCTGGGGTTTCTTTTCTGATATCTTTTACTTCTTCTTGGGCTTCCTGTGAGAACTGCTAAGGCATGTCCACCAAACTGACAATAGGCTGAAATAACAAAAAGAGAAAGAGAGAGAGAAAAGGAGAGAAAAATTGGTGGGGGGGAGGGAGGGCCCAGGAGGTGGGGACCCAGGCCAAAGAAAATGAATTGGTGAGAAGGTGCTATGAAAACAGCCGGCAGGTCAGACGAGTGTGATCAAAGGTTTACTGATGCTGCGTGAAAAAAAAATCATTAAGAAAGGCCAGAACGAGACAGTCAATTTCAACCAGAACCACAAATAAAACACATTCAAAGCAGTGCCATGAGGGTAGCCCCTCTGATACAGCCAGATAAATAAAGAAAAAGCTGATGACAGTAGGAACAACAACAGAAAATAAGACAGTGATGTGAAGGAAAAAGGCACTTCTTACCCAGTTCAGTTATCATTAGAATGTGGGTTCCACTGTTTTTTTCCTGACTGATTGAAACCAAAGGCAGAAGTTTGCCAGGCTTAGCTAATAAGTAAAGTATTTAAGGGGAAAAGAAAGTACAGAAAGAGAATAAAGTAAGGGAAAAAGACAGGTAAGGCTCTAAAAAATAAAACTGAAAAGGAAAATAAAAGGACAAAGGACCACAAATCAAGTTTGTATTTGCCATGAAAAAAACAGAACAGCTTCTGCACTTCACATCACACCACTTGACAACATAAATACCCACAGCTAGAGTGGAAATCAGAGCCTGGTTACCTACCATCATCATATTCTCAGGAGTAAAATGTCTCATACTATTATACAGAGTTTGGTTACACATGATTAAACAGTTCTGGACCATGAAGAAATAAACAAATGGGCTCTTACTATCGATTAAATGCACAGGAAAAGTCTGCTCGTACTTAGTGAAGTTTTTTTCTTTCCTAACCTTAGCCCAAAGACCCCTGCTTATTTGCTACACTATGTAAAAAGCATCTTGTCTGAAAGAGAGTTTATTCAAGAAAATGGAGAAAACCCAAAGGAAAGAGAGAAATATATTTCAGTTATTCAAATAAAGTGAAACAACCGTTACTATTCTTTCTTTAGAGACAGTAATCCAAAACAGTTATCAGAAGAGAAAACATAGCAGTGTAAGATACAGTACAGGTAATTTTCCTGAGACTGCATAACAAGGGAAGTTGGAAAAAGACACGGAAAAAGAATGTACATGAAAGGATAAATGACAGCTTTTCTTACCTAGCTCTGTTATAATAGGGATGTTGGCTCCTGTTGTAATGGAGGGTTGACGTAGCAGGCCATGGACTGGACTGTTGTCTGGAGATGACCTATCCATCCCAGGGGGTGTAAAGCCTAAAAGATTAAAAAAAAAAAATGAAAAAACAAAAAAAGAAAGTTTACACATGACAAACTATTAAAAAAAAATCCCCACCAACAGGGAATTCCTGATCTCTAATACTTTTTTTCCAGAAAAGTATGTTAAAAACTATAGAAATTAAAAAAAAATGGACTTAATTTTCAACTGTTATTTCTAAAAGCATAATCCTTCACCAATATACAGATCACTTCTACTGTAAGATATTTGGTAGCTAATGGAGAAACTGAAATTTATTTTGTTATCCTAGGTAGCCTACATGCAAAATAGAAAGAGTAATGCTTACTTAAATATAAATAAAAAAATAAAGACTTCAGTGCTAGAGAGGTTTAATTTTGTCCTATTAGTACTTCAAATAATCCTGAAACAAACACTTTTCTTTAAACCTTAAGTAACATTTTAAGGAATATTGTTTGCAAACACTAATGCCACCACGAGGAACAAATTGCTTCCATTAGCAGGTTTTAGGTTTGATCAACATGCAGTATTTAAAACTTTCTTAATGTTTTCCAGGATCAATACAACCCACGCAAAGTCTTTTTTTTCTCTTCAGGTGTATCAGTCAAAATATGTATTTTTATGAGTATTACAATTATAGGAATACTGTGATGGAAGGGCCCATACTAACAGAAAAAAAAAGATAGGATGGAAGGAAAAAGACACAGGTTTTCAAGTGGTACATAAGAGGAATGCTTAAAAAGAAACTAGAAAGAACTTTATACCTTTGAGGATGTAAAGGAAACAAAGGTGGGAAAGGAAACATATTGGCAGGCACTCAAAGAAAAAAAAAGATCTAGACAGCAGCAAGGTTCACCTCTAAAAATGACTGGTTTTAGCCGGATTCTCTACACAGTTGAAATGGAGTTACTGACACTGAGCATTTTTTAATCTTTTTGGTTTTGTTTTGGGCTGGTTTGGTTTTTTTTTTTTAAATAAAAAGTACTCATGCAAAGCCTTTTGGAGTTTGATTGTAAGTACTGAAAAATAGGCAATTATATGAAAGCCCATGCAACAGTTGGACTGGAAATTCAGAGTTGAGACAAATGCATTCCATCTCCCTGCAGCTGCGGAAAGCATGGGAACGTTCATTTAATGTCATTATTGCAGAAGTGACGGTGAAGCCAGAGTTTGACTTTAGGATTTCATGTAGACCGATGTCAAGGCTGCATTTTTAAGCAAATACTTGTCTGCTAGGAATAGGACTGAGCCAAGCTCACTGTAAAACACACATTTCTGAGAAAACATTCTTCTTTTTTTTTTTTTCACATTATGCCCAACTTCTTTGACTTCACACCTGACATTCAGGGACAGACATTTGGTCCTCTGTCATTACTGGTTTGAACTAGTTTTGAATTTTCCCTATATTGATTCTAAATTAATCACAGCCAAATTAATTTGTAACGTAACTTCATTATCTTCTTGCAGTATGGAAACTGTTTCACTGCATTAAATTCATTGATACATTAATCTGCTACTGAATTCAGAAGAAGATGATATGACATTATCCACTATACCTTTCTTTAGTTTTGGGACTTATTTACAAACCAGCAAATCTCTAAACTAAACTGTAGATATTAACATGCGGTACTGTTTTTTTTTTACTGTCTTTCTGATGAACTGATGGTTCTGTTCCAGTGATAATTATCGTCACTTTTAAACTCTCCCTAAACAAGACAAACTATAACGACCACTAGATCTGGACTTCTTGATTTAATGGGATTTAAATTTTGACATTCAGTTCATTGCTCCCTATGTTTTGTCTATATCACATATAGAATATATAGGTAATAACATTAGAATCACTGAGAAAAGAGACTGACTTAGCCTTCCAGAAGGTACCAGTATGAATTTCCTTCTGACTATCACATGAAAGTTAGATACAACATGAGGATTGTAAAGATGGGGTAAGTAAAAAGGGAGTGAAAAGGCTGTGAAGAAATTCCTTAGGAGAAAAGAAGTGGATGTAGTATCTTCAACAGGGTTGCAAGACAAAAACATCGCCACAGGCAAACCTAAGACAGTAAAGCAATTCTATTCAATATTACCAGTGCATACAAAATCTTTAGAAAGCAGGTTTCGTAGAGACAATTGGAAATGTTGGCAATGTTAACAGTCGGTCATTTAATACTACTCGTTGTGCTGAAACTAATTGGATAAGACCGGCATGGTGACAGTGAGTTGCATTCCCAACTGGTATCGGTTTGCAGAGGTTTCCTTGTGTCTGGCACTGTGACTGATAGCCGTATTGAATGCTCACTTCTGCATGGCGGGGCCTAGGATTTTTCAGACTCACAAAGTCAGTCTCACAGAGTTCCGTCAGGCACCACCTCATAAGTTAGAGGTTACCCTGACACTCTCACAACAGCAGGAAAATCGAAGTGGGACTCCTAAGGGAGGGAATGCTGTCTGAGGACAGGTGAGTATTAGTGTGAAACCTCCTTCTGCAGCAGGCCTCAGTGTTTAATCTTACATTCTGTTATGCTACAGGAAAGGCTTTTGTCACACTACATTAAAAAAAGCTTAAGTAGCTGTAGACTCCTTGAGCGGTTAAAGTGGCAGGCCCAATTGGGTCCTCTGCAGAATTACAAATCAAAATGGCAACAGCAAGACTTTTTACACTCGCTTATCTGAGAGCAGAGAAAACTAATCTTGTTTCCTTGCACCCTAGGGGTTGTACTGCCGGGAGCATCCCTAGAGGCCCTGGCTCTCCCTGTTTCCTGAGGGCATTTCTCTCCCCATCTCAAGATGCACTCCCTGAAACATCTTTCAGTGAATCAGACTCTTCAGATGGTAAGAGGACATCAGTATTTCCCTACCAGCTAGAAGCAAATTGAAGAAAGTTGGCATAACTGCATGTAAATGTGTAAGTCCTTGCCCTCCCTCTACTGCAAAGTGCACACACACAGAGGCACACACACGCACACTCTCCATCGAAGGCTATTTGTAGCCACCTCTCTAACCCTTCAAATATTTGTCTTCCCAGGATGGTGTTAGAAGATTGAAGTAAATGTGTCATTTCTGTTAGACATGGACTGTCAGGAGCTCTGTAATTGCACACTGCACACAGTGCATTTAGTCTGAAATGCAGGAAGCATGTAAAAGGGATTTTGTTTTCTCCTTGAATGAAAAATAGACTCATGCCTTAGCATTTTTCATCCTATGGTTTTGGAAGATGTGAGAAATATCTGCTATCTTAACTTAATTTTCTTGTCTGTGCTTAATTCAGACACTTCTAAAAATCTACTTTTTAAAAATACAACAATTTTGGAATACTTTCAGGAAAGGAAAATTGGAGTACTTGGGGGTTTTGCGTGCCTATGTTTGGAGTCACAAGGCATCATACACGTTCAGGCCACATACCTACTCCCAAGTCACAATGTAAATTCTATAGACAGGCTCTCTATTTTTTTCCTCCAGAAGAGAGGAAAAAAAAAAAAAAAGTGCAGGAAAACTAACCTGCTTTATCAGAACTTTCATTTAAAGGCATGAAAAACTACAAGTGACAGCTGTGCAGATTCAGTGAATGTGACATTTCTGAATTTCTTCAACTTGACAAGTAAACACCTTAAATCGGTAATGCTATATGCATAATACATGACCTGTATTTTGACATCCATCATCAAATGCTGACTTGAGAAAATACAGGTTTGTACGTCAAGGAATAGCACCCATAAAGCAGGGAGAAATTCAGGTCACAGGGTATTAGGAAAACTCTATTTCATTACAGAAGCTGAAACAAGCTAAGGCATCAGATTTAAGATCCATTTTCAGCTGTGAAAAGATTCAATTCCTCTGCACAGAGCATTCATTTAGAAATGACATGCTTTCCCCACAACCTCTTTTCATTTTCCTTTTCATATTCCATTTTCTCCTTCAGTCCCCAAACCTTGTTCCATTAACGCTCATAAAAATCGTAAACCAGGGCTGATAGTTGTGATCTTCTTATAACTACAGTGTCTCCTTGTTCAACAAACAACTGAGGGAGCTGTGGCTACAATTGCTTAACAGGATTAACCTCTAGAAGTAAAATTCACATGGCCTGTGCAAGCCTGAGCACAGTCCCTGCGTAACACTGTCTCAGTGGGGGGCTTCTGGAGAAAGGAATTCTCTTTGCCAACAGTTAGGAGGTAAGGTGCAGCACAGTTCTATCAGTTCCTGTAGCCACTGCATCTGACACTAAATTGCTGTACTGGGTGAGTGGTTGCCTTTGCATCACTTGATTTTTGGTTTTCTTTGTCTTTTGTTTTATTTGTTTGGGTTTGTTTATTTATTTTTTTTTTCTCTTCACTCATTAAACTCTCTTTACCTCAACGCGTGAGTTTTTTTTCTCACTTTTGCCCTTCTGCTTCTCTTCCCCATGCCACTGGGGAGAAGTGAGCAAGAGACTAGGTACGGGCATAGTTGCCAGCCAGGGTCAACCCTCCACCACTGGTTATAGGGATAACCACCACAACATCAAACTGAGGAAACGGCTTGGACTTCAACAGGAGGTAGCAAGCCCCAGTCCCTCTCTGAAACAAGATGCTCCTGAACAGTAGATTAAATATATCATGCCTCAGAGGAACACAGGCTCTGGGTTCCTGATGTGCTCAAAATCAGTGAGGACTGGCAGTTGGGAGTTACTTCTTCCCTCCCTCTTTGAGAAGCAGGGACTCCTGTGCTCTAACTCAGCTACCTGCTCTGGAGGAGTTTGAGCCTCCTGCAATTCTCCGCAGAAAGCAGCTGGTTAAACATCTTGGTTCTGTGCAAAGAAATATTTCCCAGCTCCCTCTGGGACACTACTGCTCGCAAAAGTAGGTGAAACAACCAAACAATTGGATTAGTGGCAAGATCCTACCTCTTTAAGATGTTCCCATCTTTGTGGAAGGAAAACCTCAAAGGAACTTTATCCCTACAGGGAGACAAGCTCTTTTCCCCACAACTTACTGGGGATCTCCCAAGACTTACTTGGGATTTCCCAAGAGTTACTGAGCTGTCC